TGCTGAAATCTGTCGGACATTCTTTCCTTGAAGGACTGTTATTAGGGTTGGTTCTCTGACATGGTTGGTATGGCCCAGTCCAAGCTGTCAATTTATGACAGATGTAAAAGGGACAAAGAAAAATCAACAACTGCGATGATACTTCTAAAACTCTCTAAGCAAAAATTCAGACCCAATGGTGAAAAATTGTATTAATCTACAGTTTATACTGGGCTAAAAAATATTTACCGTATGTATCTTTTATTATGCTAGCATTTACCTTTTATTTTTGATAGAATGTTGCATCCATACTTAATGGGAGTAGCAGATCTAGGTGTCAAAGAGACCTTAAAATAGCTAGACAGTTTTTGCAAGCTCTTTTGCAGACTGAGGAACTAACCTATGCTGCAAAGTCCTCTATGCTGTACAGTCTCTCTACAGGCATAGTCAACATAGCTCGTATGTCTTTTCTGTGCCATTTAAATACCATTTTTGTTCTAGTACATAAATTCCTACATAAATTCCTGTTTATGAAAACACAACTTGTGTAAGGAGAAAGTTTACTGAAGCTGTCCTTTTTACTGACAGTTTCATATAATTTTCTGATCTCATAATGTAAAAATGAAAATTTTGTATTGTAAGAGTATTTTTTTTTTTACCATTTCATATGAAACCAATTTTTTGCACTGCAAGGAAAATCATATAGAACAGGCTGTCAGAAGTTCCTCTGAAATTTTTACACTAACAGTTTTTTTCTCTTCCAGAAAAATAAAAGTAAGCATCCTATAAAAAAAACCCAAAACCAAAGAGGTTCCTCAGAAATTACTCTAAACAACTTGCTCAACAACCCTTCTCAAAAACTCAATCCTGAAATACCAGAGGACGAACTTCGCCCAAACTTTCTGCAACTCCAACAGCCAATATATCAAGAGGCTCTTTCTTATATTTGTAGCATGCAAAACTGTGAAAAAGCTGAAGTCTTTCAAAAATTTGAGTTGTACATGGGGTGAGGGAGAAAAATAGACTTTTAAGTCCATTTGTGATAAAATTAGGGCCCCAAAGGAGAGAATTTATTATTTAGTGACTTTTTTTTTCCTGACTTAAAAAAGTTACTCTTTAAAAATTGTTAATTTCTATTTTTTTTATGAAAAGTATCTAAAGAGTTCACAAATCCGATTTGTCAACTCTGATTGACACTAACCATAAATGTTATGATGTTGAAAAAATTGATGACAGTACAAGCATTAGGTAAAAATTTGTAATTTTTTAAAAAAGCTTTGATTAGAATAATTTGGTAGAATGTTTTCAGTGCTTTCCCAGACTACTACCATGTAAAAGCATAGGAAATAAAAAAGAAAATAATGGAAATACCTAAAAAGTTATTATGGCTGGGAGGGGGGAAGGGAGGAGAATAAAAATAGAAGCTTTCTTTTCCCCAAAATAAAGATATTCCAACTGCATCTGTAAAGTGTAATTATAGCCTTGTAAAGATTAGAAATAAGCAGTGAACAGTACATACCTGCCCTTCAGAGTTGCTACCCCAAGCATACACATCCCCTGTTGAAGATAAAGCTAGCGTATGCTCTGCTCCTACAGCTATGTCTTCAATGAAGATCCCTGACAGAACTGGAACTTGTTGGGGTCTGTTGTGATTTCGAGCTCGACCTTCCGGCAAACCTATCAGACGATCTAAAATTGCAAGCACATGTCTATATATATAAAGAACATTAAAAAGTTAATTTTACTTGCAGGCAGAAGTCAGGGAAGGACAAAAAGCAATTCTACATACTGTGGGAATTGGGACACAAGTGCAATTGGTTAGAGAGAAATCTATCATATGTTTCCTACGAAACAGTGCTTCCTACAGTGCTCATTAATATCTCTAAAGCTGTTACTTTCACTATAAGTCTGAAACAAGATCAAATTCTGTTAAAACAAGACTTCTAGATGTAAATGTACAGTCTTATTATACATATGAATTAACTGACTTAAGAAGTTTAAACACATTTAATTCAGTGCACTTGGAAATTCTCCTGTCCAGATTTTTAAACAACTTGTGTAGGCATATGCTTTATCCGACAAAGTAAACCTTTAAGTAACCCAATGTTTTTGGACATGTGAAATTCAATGAAGTTTTAGGAAAATGCCCTTCAAAAAGTAAATCAGTAAATTGAAAGTCTATCCTGAGATCAAACTAGATAGAGCTACAAATCTGGATTTTAGGCCTATGTTAAAATTGCATTGTAGAAGTTCCAATATTCAGATTAGGTCAGCACAAATCTAAAAAGCAGCGGTTAGGTCAGTCTTATAAATATGACTTACTATTCTTCCTTTTCACTTCCAATATACACAAGCCTATAGATGCAAAGGTCCAAATTCCAGATTGTCCTACCTTGTCCAAAAGTATACACATGACCATCTTTTGTCAGTGCAACGGAGAACTGCGTTCCACAGGCAACTTTTTTTATTCCAATTCCACAAAGAATATCCACTTTCTAAGGGGTAAGTGAAAGGAAAAAGAGCTATGGTATTATGAAGCTACAAATAGAAAGCAAACATGAATTTAATCTGCAACTCCTACTTCCAAAAAGAAATTCTGTAATTCCCACTGTGCAATGCATACATTGTTGGATTACTCTAATTAATGCTTGCAAATTAATACAGGAAACTGAGACTGGTTTTCTCTTTTTCTTTAATGGAACTAACACCTTATTCTATGTACAATGATTCAAAATACCTTTTACTTACTAGGAATGAGCAGGGAGTGGCATAGAAGGAAGTAGATGAGCGTGTAAACAATTTTCCCCCCAAACTCCAGAATAAGAAAACGCTCTTCTTTAAACAAAGATTTCCACTATTTGTATTGCCACTGAGATAAGGTCACTATTATTTACATTAAATCCTTTCAATTATCAGGCTGAGCATAACATATCATCAGAATTATTTATGCTAGATTGTATTAGAACAGTATAGTGGATGGAATTAATAATGTAACTTTTGCAAATTACGCTCTGAACAATGTGTAACACTTTCAACAACACTGAAAATCTAGGCAAAGAATAATTTTTCTATTAATTCTAACCTGTGGTGAGGATTTTGCAGTGGAATTTCCCAAACCAAGTTTCCCATAATCTCCATCTCCAAAAGCCCAAACCATTGAGCCATCTGTTGACACAGCTACAGTATGATTGAGTCCACAGGCCACCTGGTTGAGAGAAATATGATAAAGTTTTTGCTAACTTGAAACTAACTCAAACACACGAACTATCTAAGAAAAGAAAAATTATGTTTTAAAAAATAGCTATCCTTTTAAAACCATTAAAACCCCCATTGCTTATTACAGTGTTTTAAAGATATTTAGGACCACAGTAGTATTTTTTAGGTATTAGCTTCCTCTCAGCTCCTAGCACCAAAAGACAGTATTATGCTACACATGCATATTGTTTAAGAATACAAAATAGCTCATGAATTCACGCTTATGTGGAAATCTTAAAAAACATGGGCAGTTTTGCAGAAAGGGATCAAAAGAGTCAGGAAAGGACGTATTTAAAAAATTATGCATAGTCAAATTTTGCCATTATAATCAAAATAAAAGCCAAGGTTTAAAAAAAAAAACCCCAGATCACTTAAACAGATTGAAAACATCAGCTTTAAACAAAGATACATTGCTAGTTTTAGATAAACCATGCCTGTCCGATCTGGTAACCTTCCAGCGCTGTCACTCTTTCTGGAAGTTTCTTATTGGAAGTATTTCCAAGTCCTAATCGACCATAATCACCATTTCCAAATGTAAAAAGTTTGCCATCTGCTGTCACCACAGCTGAGTGTTTGAAGCCACATGACATCTGGAAGCAAAATAAACATAATTTTTACATACATTTTAAATTTGGGGGGGAAATCATGTTGGCTATTACATGCAAATATGTAATACCTTTTCCTCCCCTAAACTACACTCTCTTTAGAAAGAGATAAAATACAGATACTTTTAGTATTAATGATTTCTCCAACAACCTGTCTCCTCTTTTTCTCAATGGTACAGTTGAGGAAGAGGATAGGCGGGTATTCACGTGAAAAAAGGCTTTCAGGTGTTTTATTTATTTATTTATTTTTACCAACTATTGTTTTCTGCAGATTGCTTTTGTTGTATGAATAGTTTATATTTTTATAAAGAAACCTCCAGTCAAAGCCAAACATGATTTTGTGCATTGTTATAATGCACACTTAGTACTCAGGAGGAGGTGTCAGTGAACTAGTTTTGTAGGTCAAAGACACCTGACAAGGACCAATGGAAACTTCTAAATTGTGCTTGTATTTTGACTATCTTTTGACCATCCCTCTCTTCCATGCTCTTTCTAATTTTAGTCTTCTCCAGTAACAACTGTCAATTAATATCACACATCAACAATGAGCTCTGTGATAGTACAGAAACTGGAAATTATCAACTTGGTTCATAACACTCAGAGAAATAAAAAGGTGCTCATTTTCATCCACTGTATGAATTCAAACTGTCAAGACTGACAATGATTCTGGAACATTCCTAGCACTAGGTCACCATGCCTGCAGTTTGTATGAGACCAAAAATATTTTAGAACCTGCACCACTTCTTCTCCTTGCAGAGCCTCTATTTGTCTAGGCCTGCGCTGTCTGTCACTGTTTCCATGTCCCAGTTTGCCATAATCTCCATCTCCCCAGCTAAAGACTTCCCCGCTTTCTGTTAAAGCCATAGAATGTCCATCAGATCCACAAGAGGTCACCAGCTGTGTTACAACAAAGCCTGTTAAAGAAAAATGAGAAAACAAACTTTAGAATAAATTTGAATAAAATCTTAACATTCATTTATCCAAGTGCCCCTAATGGTAGCCTATCAGGGCTGGGAAAAGGAACCAACCACAATAACATCTTCCTTGTTATAGCAATTTGTTTATTTTTATTTTGAACAAAACTTTTGTTTTGTCATGTACAACCTATGCTTCTGACCTGCCATTAGTTTTGAGATTAAATGTTCCTACCTTGAGCAAATACTATTCCCTGAAGCCTTCTTAAAAGTAAGGAATTTCAACATATTACTACTTATATCTTAAGGGGAAATAAACATCTAGTTTATTTGTTGTTCAATTTTTTAATTAAAGACTACAATATTTTAATGTGTAAATCTACAAAAATAGCATCAACACAAATAATTATATTAATTACCAAAATGCTTATTTGCACTTTATCAACTGCCTCATTTCAAACCTAAAAATTTTACCTTGCAGTGCTGAAATAACTGTTAACACATGAAGATCATCAGAATTTCCTTGTCCCAGTCGCCCATAGCTCCCTTCTCCACAAGCCAAAACTGTGCCATTGGCTTGAATGACAAAAGTACAATTCTGACCACAAACAACCTAGTTTAGAAAGACACAAAGGAGTTTCAATGATTTTTGTTACATGCAGCAATGTTGTAATACCTTCATTACAATGTACAAACTTTTAAAACTTTTTTTCTTTGTAATATTATCAAGACAAAATACACTCTTGTCACACTGCAAATACCCTTGTGATAACCCTATTAACATAAGACTTCACTCACCCCACGTTTAACAGAGTTTTGTTACCTAATCACATTACAATAAAAATTACTTCACTGAAACTCACTACTAGTTTTGGCAAACCTTCTTCCAGTGAGAGAAATCACAATATCCTCCTATATGAAATTCAGTTTTGATGTTTCCATACTGAATGTCAATGGTATTTCAGAAAACAAAACTGGCACATGTATTGTGTTAAAGCTGTGCAGGTATTTTCAAATCATGTTCATATCAAACAATTTCCTTTTGTCAGATTTCAGTGGCTTCTCGGTTTGAATTTGTCAAAACAATTACAGACTTCCTCTTTAATGAAAACACGTGGTTTGAGGGTACTTTATAGTAAATTCAAACAATAAATTGAGAAGACATTTAGAGAGAGATTTTGACAAACTGTATGAACAATATATGCTAAATCATTAAAAACAGAAGCACATGACTGTTTTTAAATATTCACCTGCTGAGCCTGAGAGAATGAAGGTGTTGCTACTGGTATCATGACATTTCTACCAGCTTCTGCTAACTGTCCATGTCTTCCTGCTCCCCACAGATACACGTCACATTTGCCTCCCAAGTGCCAATCCTTTGGAACAGCATGAAAGAATGCTTTAAATCAAGAGTACTTTCAATAGCTTATGATGTTTTAAAAAAAATAAATTTAAAAAATAATTTAAAAGCCCACAAAAACCCCCTTCAATTTTACTGACCTCTGGCCTTGATGTTGCCCAAGACATTATCTGTTCATCCATACCATTGATCCATTTACTGTTATCCTACACAACAAAAGCCACAGTTACCACATTCAGTTCAAGAGATGCACATTATTTTGCTGTTATGTAATACATATTTGTCTTTCTAAGAACATTGACATTCAAATTATTCTAAACAGCATAGTAGTAACAATGAATGCGTGCAGATTCACTTTATTTTCATCCATAGGCCAAGTTTATTTCCTTACTACAACTACCTAGCAATAACACCGTTATCCATGACTTGCAATGAAAATAAAAAAAGAAAAACAAACAAAATTCATGATGAAATAATGTCTTCCTATTTGCTGATGCTTAGGGCTTTTTAAAGTTTTAACTGCAAACACTGGCTTAAAATGTTACAAACTTGAAGATAAAAAATTCTTAATCCAAAATTTCTATTTTGGTTTACATGTCATAACAAGTCATAAAGACAACTGACACTAGCAAAGTAAGTTGGTGTAGAAACGTGCCAAAATGTTACTCTAAAAATAGCATTGTAAAGCTCTACATTTCTTGCTTATATCACGTAAGAAAAATACTGTCACAGCTTTGGGTTGTTTTTTGCTTTGTTCTTTAGTAGGCGACTGACTTGCACTCATGACTACACACACAGGGAGCAGCCTTACAGTATATTCTAACCAGTTAATTAAAAAATAAACTTACACTTATTGCTGGTGCTTATGTTAATGAATATAAATCTTTACAGCTCAGAAATGTTAACTGCATCATACCATATGCTCAATAACAACATGCTTTGCTGCTGAGACACTATAGCACATTTTACCATTAGGAGAGTAAGCTCCTCCTCTGGAACAGGCTCCAGGTCTGGCACAGTAAAGGATTCTGGGAACTGTGCTCCCTTGGCCAGGGCTTCAGCAGCTTTTATGGTAGTAGAGAAACACTCTAGCCAGGCCCATTCTGTGGGATTCCAAGCTGAAGGATCAGGGAGGCAGTTCTGGTGATGAGGTGGTACTGGAGGATTGCACAAGAGCTGATCTAGGTGAAGGCCCACAGCGAGTGATGCCAAGCACTGCATATAAGGACTATGAACAAGCTGGTCTCCACAAACAACATGAGGCTAAAGGCAAGGGGTGCGGGAGAGAGAAATTGAACACACAAAGTTAGAAATACATATTAATCAACTCAGAAATAGGAGTCCTTCAAAGCTAGTCCTGTAGAAAAACATTTTCCTCCATGCTTAATCAATTTTTCTAATATTTTAAATATTCTCAAATTAGGAGACTACTAGCTTTGAGAATACTGAAAGACATTTGCAAACAGGATGTAATGAAGTCTCCTGGGTTCTCTGTGGTGAAAGACTGAAACCAGCTGAGATTCAAACAGTGACCTCATGTCAGACATGAATTTTAAATATTTGCATTAGCTCTTCTTACCTTTTCGTAAGCATACTGTTCCTGAAGCATTATTGGCAAACGTTCCAAGAAAGCTCGCATGCAAGGAGCCATATTTAATCCCAGAACTCCTTGCTGTTTCAGCGCAGTCCTACATGTTGCAAGGACATGATTGGAAGATATCCACTCTGATGTACAGTTCACTACCAACACATCCTGTTTAATAGCAGTCACAAGACACATTAGAAATTAAAAATTCATAAAACAGGATTATTAATCTCCATTAATCTATCACCAATTATCTTAGTTTCTATAGGGGCCAGAAAAGGCACAAGCTTGAACATGTTTGTCTCTGTTGGAGAATAATCTGCTGGCAAATGCTACGGAGCAGCCATCTCCATCTCCCACTTCCTCACATTCCGATGGCAACACTACAATTACCACTCCAAGGAAGAATACAAACATGGTGATAAGCAGAGTTCATTTCAGTGAATGCTGTAACCTTAGTTTAGTATTTAGTTTAGATGTAACCTTAGTTTAGGATTTGCCTTGTAATATGACCTTCAATATTAGGTCTGAATTCAGAAAAGACTCTCAAGGAATCCCAAAATACTTAGAACCACATGCAGCATGACTCTATTAAAAGGAGTCATAACTTGTACCATATTTATCTTCATTCACAAAAAATATCATCGTTTGGAATAATCAACTGTTATGAAACTTCTGCTCAGATGCCAGCAGCTCCTAACACAGCAAACATTGAAGTAGATTCTGCTGCTCCTTAAAAATTTCTGAGGTTGAGGCTGCTTTAGATTAAGGTAGATCACTGAAGTATCTTCTAAAAAGAAAAGGGGAGAAAAAGGGACGGAAAGGGGGGGGGAAT